CTCTCACACACACACACTCACACACACACACACACACACTCACACACACACTCACACACACACTCACACACTCACACACTCACACACACACACACACATACACACACACACACTCTCACACACACACACACACTCTCACACACACTCACACACACTCACACACACACTCACACACACACTCACACACGTGTGTGACTTTGTCAAAAGTGTTCCTCCAGCCCTAACCAGTTTGGTTCAGTGGATAGAGTGTCGGCCTGGGGACTCAGGGGTCCCAGATTCCATCCTGGTTAGGGGCATGTATAATACCTTGGTTGCGGGCACATACTCCGTGGGGAGTGTGCAGGAGGCAGCTGATCATGTTTCTCTCTCATCGATGTTTCTGGCTATCACTCTCCCTTCCTCTCTGTAAAGAATCAATAAAATATGTATTTTTTTAAAGTGTTCCCCCCAGAAAGCTGTGTATCTTGAATAAAATGCTACACAGGAAATCCGTTATTTTACTTTTGTAGAAACTATTCTGTTGTCCCGAACTGTGTTTCTCCTTCCATCACAGCTGAGCTCAGTCCCCTCCCCCTCCACTACCCCCCCCCCCGAGTGGGTTTGGGGTGGGTGTTGGGGAAGAGAAGGCTGGGGCAGCCTCAGGAGCTGTCAGGGGCCAGGCCCGTTCTGCCAAATGGAGTTGGTAACGCGAGCCCGCATTGGCTTCAGAGCCCGTGTCCTGGCATCTCATTCCACTTTACAAATCGCAGCCGTGAACCTCAAGCAAGTTACATTACTTGTTTCCTTGCCTGCAAAGTGGTGATGACAGTAAGTCCACAGATTAATGATGAGGATTGATTAAGATGACATCATCACATCATGAAGTCTGGAAGGATGAATACCTCTCTGCCAGCAGTGGTTCTTAGGTGGTGTCGTCATAGGAGGTTTCACGTTCCCTCCTTTCCCCATCTTTATTCAGTGGTGCACTTGTCAATGTTTAACAACCAGCGCTCTGAAAGGAAAGGCCTGATCTGTAGTGTTTGCCCATTTCCGTGGTGTAAATACTCCGAGGTGGCTGATTCAAGCTGCCACCGTGATATCGCTGAATGAGCTGGGGAGAGACATGCACAGCTAACTTAGCTCTTCCAAGCTGCACAAGCCCACCTCAACAAACCACTGATTTTATTTTTAATGGTGCACGGGATGTTTTAGGGTGGTAAACTGAGGTGGGGGGGGATTTATAGAATACCTAGCTTTGTGCTGAGCATCCTGATTTTCAATTCTTCCTGCCCTTCCTCTTCTTCCCTGAGCAAACAGCACACAACTATGATCACGTAGCCACCCGAAGTGGTGGTCTTCCGAGCGGCCAGGTGTCCTTACCTTGTTCCCCATCTCGGAATGGGCAGCCTGTGGAGAGATCCTCAGGTGGGCCCACGGAGGAATGAATCACGGGGGCAAGCAGGTTTTCTCACTGTCTACAGAAGACATGCTCCGAGCAGACACGTGCAAAGTTGAAGCTGCCCTAGAGCCGTGGTCGGCAAACTGCGGCTCGCAAGTCACACGTGGCTCTTTGGTCCCTGGAGTGTGGCTCTTCCACAAAATACCACGGCCTGGGCGAGTCTATTTTGAAGAAGTGGCGTTAGAAGAAGTTTACGTTTAAAAAATTCAGCTCTCAAAAGAAATTTCAGTCGTTGTGCTGTTGATATTTGGCTCTGTTGATTCATGAGTTTGCCGACCACTGCCCTAGAGGAACTCAGGAAAAATCCCAGTGGAGTGAAGGGCCTGGAGTACAACACTTCCCCCTCCTCCCCAGGTGGCCAGTCTCTGACCAGCCTAACCTTCACCTTCAACTCCTGACATACGAGTAGGAGGTGTGTGGGGCGCAGGGCGGAGGCCCCTCAGATTTCCGGAGGAACACAGGAACCGTGGGGCACCCAGTGGAACACCAGCAGGCCTCCCAGGTCAGCTGGCGTGTGTACAAAGGTGCAGAGACACAGTGCCCGCACCCTGCAGGGTCTGGTCTCCGCTTCCAGCCCTTGGCACAGTTTCTGGCACAGAGTAGGTGCTCAAGGAATTTTTGTGAAGGCTTGTTTTTTTAAAAAGTTCATGAATTTCTTTTATTCCTTTAGATCTAATGCAGACATGGTATAAGGCAGCTCCGTAAGGTTCGTTGAATTATGAGTGTCTTAGTCCTCGCCAGCTCCTGGTCTCACATGTTCCTGGATATAGAATGTAACTAAACCTAAATGAGATGCAAGGTATTCATAAAAATTGCCAGTGATAATTTATTTTTTATTTTTTGCTTCTCTGTAGTTTTCAAATGCATCTTCAAAGAACATGGATCACATTTGTTATTTGTTAAGAAGGTTCATTATAAAAACAACCTGTAAGTAAAAAGTAAAACGGCAGGGTGTCAGCCGTTCAGACGCGAGAGGCACCCTCTCCACGCTGCGAGGCTCTGAACCAAGGCCCCGGGCACGTTGGGTGGGCCCCGCGTGAGCCTCCGCACCCTCCCAGATGCTGGTCACAGTTGGGTTCTCTCTCAGCCTCTGCTTCCACGAGCCTCCCGCCCACCGGGCGCTGACTAACCACACTCCCCTTCGGTAACAAGTCTTAGTCAGAAGTGGAAATAGAGACGAGTCACAGGCCTCACCCAGGACCGCCGGCAGACTGGAAACTCAGTGCACCCTGGTCCCCAGCTCTGTCCGGTCATGTGCTCTGGGGCGAGCAGGGTCCGCAGGCACCTGGGACCCGAGCAGGACCCTGCAGGGGGCCGCCCCCCCTTTAGTAACACGCCTCCTCTGGGGGAGCAGGGGCCTCAGCTCCTTGCATACCACAAAGGCGTTGGTTCTGCTTCCCCCTAAGAAGCAGGGCTCCTCTGAGTCAGGAACACAGAGCCGTGACGTGAGCCTTCGTTAAACATGTGCTTGGTTATAAAGGAGCCGTCCCCGTATCATGAGGAACTCAGCTCTTCCCTGTGGCCTAGCCCTGCAACTGAGGGAACCGTTGTGTGTTTGGTGTTTTCTGTGAAAAACACTGGTTGGGTCTAGAAAATGAGGGCTCGGGGAGTCGGGGAGAAGCTGTTCAAGGGGTTTGTGTCAGAAGGCATTGTGTCATGCATACACTGTCTCTCTTCCTCCGGCAACTCTCTGGCGGTTACGAGCTGACATGTCTCTCAGGGCTGACGTGTCTCTAGAGCCAGGGGGCTAAGGAGAGGTAGGCCAGGTGCCTCCAGGGCTCTGCCTCCACCCAGCGGTGCACAAGGAGATGTGACTGTTTCCTCAGAACTGATCTCTCTCTCTCTCTCTCAACAACTTTTGTTCACATGCTAAACAAGTCACCCATTTAAAGTATACAATTCAGTGATTTATATCATAGTATACTAGAGGCCTGGTGCTTATCACCCCAAGCCCTGGCCAGGTACCTCCGTTGGTCAGAGCGTCATCCCAATACACTAAGGTTGTGGGTTCAATCTCTGGTAAGACACATACAAGAAGCAGTGAATGCATAAATAAATGGAACAACAAGAAGCCAATGTTTCTCTCTCTCTCTCTCTCTCTTTCTCTCTCTCTCTCTCTCTCTCTCTCTCTCATTTTCTCTCTAAAATCAATAAATTAAAAACAAGAAGAAGAAAAGAAAGAAACGATGCACCCTTTAGCAATCATTCCCCAATTCCTTCCAAGCCCCCCTGACCAAGATAAACACTAATGTAATTTTTGTCTTTGTAGCTTGGCCTATTCTGGATGTTTCCTATAAACGGAATCATTCAGTATGTGGCCCTTGGTGTCTGCCCCCTTTCACTTAGCGTCATGTTTTCAAGGCTCACGCATGTTGTAGCAGGTATCCATACTTTATTCCTTTTCGTGGCTGAATAGCATTCCATTGTCTGGTTATGCAAGGTTTTGTTTGTCCATTCACCAGTTGGTGAATATCTGGGTTGTTTCCATGTTAGGCTGTTATGAATAATGCTGCTGTGAACATGCCTCTGTGCGTTTTTGGATGGACACATGCGTTCACGTCTCTTAAGGCCATGTAACTATGAGTCTGATCCAGCCATTTTTTGCTGGTTTGTTTAAAAACCTTCTTTAAGTTCCCATGGTTCTTAAAACCAGGTTCAAAATCCTTACCTCGGTCTACAAGGCATATCACCTCTGCTGGGCTTTCCCCTGGGTCTTCTGTCCCAGCTGAGAGGTTCCGCCAGCACAGAGGCCCTCCATCCCTGGCAGGCCTGGCTCTTTCTGCTCTCTCCCCTGGCTCTGTGTTTATCTAACCCCCACCCACCACCATCACCACCACCACTACCACCCTGACTCCAGTGGAAATAGTGCCCCCAGGGACGTCTCCCCAGAGCATCCCATGAGATGAGGTCCACGTGCTGTGATGGGACCTGCCCATCTCCTCACCCGTGCCATAGTGTCGGCCACACGATGGCCTGTGCGGTTATCCACTTAATGTTTCTCTCCGCTCGCCGTGAGCGCCAGGGGAGCAGGGCCCTCGCTCTGGTTCACCCGTCATCCCTGGCACCTTGCATGGTGCCCGGTGCACGGGGACACTCGCTACACGTCCGTCAGATGAATGATGCCAGTCCCTTGTTGGGAGCCTTCTTTCACCTTGGGGTCCCCCCAGACCCTCTTTCCCCTCACTCACCTGAGAGGCCTCTGCTTAAGTCAGAATGGGCTTGGGGGACCCCTTCCTAAGATAACCTGTGCCTCTGTGGGTCCCAGCCCGCGTGGCTCTCGGGACAGGCTCAGGCCCCCATCACTCGGGATCAGGGAGCCCGGCCACCACCGGCTACACCAGCAGCGGCAGCCAGCGTTTCCAAGGGTGAACTCGAAGGATTCTCCGAGGCGGGTGCCTCTCTGAGAGTTGGGGGGCTGCATTATGACTAGCCACGTTCCCTCTGGTGACAATGATCGCCTTTCTGGGTGTCACGTTGGGAAAACTGTCCTTGAGGAAAGCTGTACTCCTTCTGAGACTTAATTGCTTTTTTCAAAAACACCTGTTTTCATTTCCCCCCACAGATATGCACTTATTTGGCCATTACCCGGCACATGACGACTTCTATCTCGTCGTGTGCAGTGCCTGTAATCAGGTCGTCAAGCCACAGGTTTTCCAGTCGCACTGCGGTAAGTGGACTCCCGCCGCCTCGCCGAGCAGCGCCCCATCCCCCCACCCCCTCCCCCACCCCGACGGGGCCTGGCCCTCTGTCTGTCTCAGCCCAGGCCCGCGGGCACCTCCTTCCCGGGCTCAGCCTCTGCTCCCCGGGTAGCTGTTTTAGAATCTGAAACGCTCCGTCTGTCAGAGCCCATGAGGGAAAACCTGCTGCTTGTCTAGATGGATGATGGGACTGGGCTGACACCACCCGCCCGCCTGGCCTCTCCGCAGCCTCCGTAGGCGACAGAGGGAGGGAGAATCAGTGGCTGGTGGAGGCACTGCTGCAGCCTGGCACGTTGTTCCCCAGAAAGAGAGGGCCAGGTGGGGTCTCCGGGTCTACACCCAGGGGGCCTGGGAGCCAGGAGCCGGTTGCTTTGGGCCTCTGGGTGCTGCGGTGAGGCTTGCCTATAAAGCTTCAGGCTCAGCTACTCCTTTTCCAGGAATCCTCCGTGAAAAAAAAAAAAAGTGCAGGTGTTTGGGAATCTGCTTTCCCTCTGAATGTTTATGTCCTTGGTGTCAAATTGCCTTCATCTTGTCACCAGCAAACCCGGGACTCCCCGTCAGGGCGGGCGCCGTGACCATACAACAGAGAGAAAGTCCACCCTGCCGCTCCCCTCAGGAACGAATAAATAGCCATTGACCTGAGATGGGAAGTTACTTAACCTCTCTGGGGGGAGGTTCCCATAGTTCTTTAAAGGGGGCGTTGGACCAGATGATTTCCAGCGCTGTAATATGCCGTCAGTTCCAGAACAGTGTGTCCCAGTCTTTTCATTTCAGCCATACTCCACGTGCCCTCCTCCACTGTTAAATGTCAAAGCACATTAAATATCGTGCCTTAAATAAATCAAAGCAATTATAATATTACTAGAGGCCTGGTGCACGGATTTGTGCACCGGTGGGGTCCCTCAGCCTGGCCTGCAGGGATCAGGCTGAAACTGGCTCTCCAACATCCCCCTAGGGTAAGGTGATTCCTAACAATTTTTCCCGTGTCCCGTGGCATTTTAAAAAAGTCCTGATTTTTTTAAAGAATCTTTCCAATCTTCCCAAAAATCGCAGGCCAGGCCAAGGGACCCCACTGGTGCAAGCACCAGGCCTCTAGCATGCATATAAGATCTTTGGTTAATCTCTACCCACTTTCCTTCCTCCCCCATTCCCTTTGAGATTCATCAGTCTGTTGTATGTTTCTATGCCCATGGTTTCCACTCCTGCGTTGAGCATCTGCCCCCTGGTGGTCAGTATGTGTCATAGCTACTGTTCAGATGGTCTAATGGTTGGCCAGTCACTTAGGCTTTTATATCTATAGGTTATAATTTTGCAAGCTACATGTTATCCCTTTCTCACACTTGGAATTTCTCATTTCCCCCTGCCCCTTCAGTTATCACTAGTCTGTAATAATAGATATAAAATAAGGGGAATTGAGCTTATCTACACTCTTTAGTAAATGTATTTGGGGCTACAGTTGACCCTTGAACAACACAGGCTTGAACTGTGCATGCCCACATATAAGCAGGTTTTTCCATAACTATGTAGTCGGCGCTCCATACATGTTTCAAATCCTTGGGTTCAACACACTGCCACTTGAAAAGAGTACATACTTTCAGTCCAAGGGTTGGGAATCCATGGATGTGGGGGGCCAACTCTGTCCATTGTTGTGCGCCATTTTATATAAGGGACGTGAGGCTCTGCGGTGTTTGGTATCTGCAGTGGGTCCTAGAACTAACCCTGTGGATACTGAGGGATGACTGTAGTTTTTAATGTGTCCTAATATCATTTATGAATATGTAGACATGTGATATGTACATATCTAGATACATCAAAATTCATCTGTGTATATACTGTAGGCATGCTGGTGTTTTGTGTTCATAACCTACAGACAGAAAAGCCAAGCTTTAGGGGCACTTTCCAGCACGTGCTGACCTGCCCAGGCAGAGAAGGCCCTAAGAGTGTGTACAGAGAGCTCTGTTTAGAGGCCGTCTCCTGCCCCTCCCTGCAGCCGGCCCTGTGACTTTGGGCTACTTGTTTACTGTCTTGAGGCTTTGGTTTTTCTAGTCTCCTCCATCAGGAGTGGCTTTGTGAGTGCTTCTAGCTCTAACCTTGTCGTACCCGGCAGAATGAGCAGGAGAAGAACAAGCTGTCTGCTCAGCATGAGCTGACCTTCTTGTTCAGTGCCGTGTCGCAAATGACCCCTCCCTTATGCCGGAAGAGAGAAAAGATCCAGCCTCTCCAAGGGACTGGCAGAGACTCGGTGCTGGTGCCACGAACAGAGGTGGCTGGTGGGGTCGAGAGCAGAGCAGCGGAGAGAAGAGCCCAGGCTAGCTGGATGGTGAATGACTAGGGAAGCTCTGTGACCAGTTGCTTCTGTGTGTCCAGTTGATGGGGTCGTCGTGCATTCATTCACAGGGATGCGCTGTTGTTCTGGGCACTGGGATACAGCAGCAAGCAAGGCAGACAGAAATCCCTTAAGCCCTTAAAACTTTCGCTGGGATCTTAATTCACGGGCAGAGACTCTAATGAAAGTAACGTGAAAGGGACCCGGGACTCCATTGTGCCCAAGGCCCCAGCTAGCCCATGAAGGAGGCCTCTGGGGCTTGGCTCTGCTGATTCATGTGCCTTCCTCCGTCTTAGGCCTTTTGGGACAAGAGCCAAGTCTTGTTTACCAAGAGAACCAAGTGTTTGTGGCATCTGCTTTGAGCAGTGGCTGTACATTAGTTTGGGGGTTTGAGTTACTGATCTCATCGCCCAAAGCCCAGTCTCGGGTGAGCTTCCTGCTGAACCAGCTGACAAGCAGCAGTGAGGACACCTCATCTTTCAGGTGTGTGTCCTGCCGATTCGCAGCTCATATTTATCAAGGCCGGGAGAAGGCGAGGCAGAGCTCAGAACCATGGCAACTCTCCGGAGACAGTGAGGATTTCTTTCTAAGTGTTAGGCACTGTGCTGAATGATACCCATATCTTTGAGCACATAATCCGCTCATCAGTTCTAAGAAGTAAGACCAATATGATACCTTGTTGAACTTGAGGAAGATGAAGCTTAGACATGCCTTGCCCCAGGTCTCAAAGCGAGGCAAGTGTAGAGCCTGATTTTGGACATAAAACCAGGGGAAGTGCATGCTCTGCCTGCTTGCTGGTCACTGTCCCTCACTGCCTTGCTGCACAGATCGCCTGCTCTCCTTGCCCTGCCCGAGCTCCAAGGCCTGACCCATTCACCTGCTAGGTAGCCCCTTGTACGTAGTACACGGCTTCAGACTAGATTTTGTTAGTTGCAGAGCTTTGTTCAAATAGAACCTCCTGTGGAACTTAAGGCTATAACTATCGATGCAAAGAAAGCCATCGGGGTTGAACTTGGGGTGGGTGCTTGAGCCACTCCTGACCTGGCCTACTCCCGACCTCCCAACCACCCAGACCTTCATAGAACAGCAAGTTAGTTGTGTTGGAGAGAACATGGACGGTAGAGGCTAACGAAGCCATCCACACGACTCCCCATTAACTGTGGAGGCAGGTCACCTCCTGTCTCTCCATCTTGTCTGCAAAATAAGGACTCTGTCTGCCTCATGGTGCCCAATGACTGGTGTGAGGCACCCTCCTGCAGATATACCCAGAGCATGGCTTCATTTCTTCCCCTCTTCTCCCCTTGGCATTCCTACCCCCTGTGTCCCCCTGGATTGGATTTACACCTCTCAGTACCCATAGAACTCCTTTCTCCTGTGCCACTTCCCACCTTCTGCCCCGCACTGCAGTTATCTGTGGACTCTCATGAATGTTCACCAGCTGCTAGGATCCTTTCAGGATAAGGGGTGGTCCTTTTCAACTCTGTATTCCCAGCACCCAGAATTGTCCCTGTCGTGGCCCGGGGAAACAGAGCTGCCACACAGCAGGAGGGATGCTGCCCAGGAGCCAACACATCTGAGGCCAAATCCCAACTCAGCCTCTGCACATCCCTGAGACCTTAGATTTGTGACTTGTAAAAGGACAGGGGGCTGGACTGTGTGTCCTTTTAGAAATTTGCTCATTGTCAGCACCTGTGATTTTGAGGATCATGACATACACAGAGAGATGGGCACCTAGCAGTATTCCCATCTTGGTCTCCTGTTTGTTTAAGTTTGTTTGTTTATTGCTTTATTTATTTTTATTTTGACAGAGAGAGAAACATAGATTTGTTGTTCCACATATTTACGCATTCGTTGGTTGATTCTTGTATGTGATCTAACCAGAGATTGAGCCCAAAACCTTAGCACCTTACATATGGGGACAATGCTCTAACCAACTGAGCTTACCTGGCGAGGACCTACTTGTTTTAGTGTGTGTGTGTGTGTGTGTGTGTGTGTGTGTGTGTGTGCATGCATGTGTGTGTGTGTGCTTTGGCCATTGGTTATGGGGGCTTTGGAGATCATTGGTAATGTGAAAAAGCCATAGTAGAAAAATCATGAATTTTGGAGTCAAACAGACCCAAGTTAGACTCTCCACTTACATTTACTAGCCGTGTGAGCGTGGGTTAACGTACATGACCTTTCTGAGCCTCATTTTCCTCCGAAATGAAAGTGGACGTTCTTGCCTCGCGGAGCTACAGAAGGCACGGAGATAGAGTGGTTTCCTGGCATATGGTAGGAAAATAAAGAAAGGGTAGCTATTATTGTCAATAAAGTGTGGCTATTTTTTATTAAGTTGAATGTTTCTTATGAAAAATGGGAAAACCAATTCAATCAAGTGCTTCCTGCCTTCGTTTCTTGCCCCATCTCAGGGGATGTGCACGCTGAGGTCAGCCTACTCGCTGTGGCCTGTGATTCATCTTCTGCTTCCCACACTCTTGGAGGCAAGAATTGTCGGCCTGAAGAGGATCATGTTGCCAAGAATCCAGAGGATCTGGCTTTCTAAATATGGTTCACGCTCACTTTAGGCCCCAATAGCAGCTCCTTAGGAAATGCTTTGAGGCTCCCAGGATCTCTCTCAGGTCCCTGCCGTGGTCCGCCTGGCCT